TATAACAGGGCGACTGTGTCTGTTCCCTGCAGTGACAGCCATGTGCCGGTTGTGCAAAAGTGTTCGTTTGGACCGAAAAGAAGAAAATAGAACAAGCGTGTTCTTTCCAAGCGTGACCAGAGATCACGTTCTCTTTATCAAAAAGAGAACACGATCTCTTTCTGATAAAGAGAACATCCACTGATTACTAGTTGTTAAACTGAAAGCTGTCATTTCAGCAGAGAACATTTGAGGCAATTATTACACACACACACACAAAAAAAAGTTTTTTCTTTGTCTAATCAACAGTTTTGCTAGCTCTACCAGTGAAGACACACTCAAGTAAATGAAACAGTCAAATTTAAGAGAAACAGTTCTGTAATAACAGTACTAGTGCTATGGCAGTTCCTGGTAGTTCTAACACTCTCTTTAGTTTCTGTTTTTTTTTGCAGTCAAAACATAAAATTGTTCTAACAATAGCTTTTGTCTAAAAAATGCAGATGAAGCACTGTTAAATTTATTTGTTAGTCTCACAACATTTAGTGGTCGTAAATTAACCTGGTCTGGTGTTTTTAGTGGGAGCTAAGCTAAGCTAAGCAAAGCTAGGCTAGGCTAAATGTATGGCATGTTTATCGAAGAGACAGTTTTGTGGTTTGTTTAAACGCTACGTATTTCGCTACAAACGTGAAAACCTGAAAGGAGGTTTTCAGATTTCAGAAGAACTTTTTAGAACAATTTTTACTGCTTTATTACCTCCTGCTAGCTAACTTTTTTCCCCTCCATTGTTTTAACAACATTCCCAGCCTCATCCTTCATCGTTGCTCTCCGAGTCTGTATTTGTGCTGATTTTCAGCCTCCACTCATTTCCTCTCCTACAACAAAGTGCCATATTCTCTACACCTGGTTTTCCTCACACGGTGAATGTTATGCACGTCGTCCTCTGCTGCACTTCTCTGTGATAAATCAACCTCAGCAGCTGTTTATATTAAATTCAATTCTCTTCCTCTCCACCATAAATTATAAGTCCGAAGAGGAGACAGTTAAAAAAAAAACACCCTGCATTAGACCTGTCGTCAGTGTTATCACTTATCTCTTATCTTAGCAGCAGTAAATATTTCTGTAAATCCCTCATGGAGGATGAACACTTCCATTGTAGCTTTTAATTATGTTTCAAGGGTAATATTTAAATGGTCATTTTATGACACCTAGCTCATTAATCTTAGTCTTTAGATAAGCTCAATTGTGTTTACCGTTATTTCTGGACCATAAGCCGCTACTTTTTTCACACGCTTTGAACCCTGCGGCTTAAACAATGATGCGGCTAATTCATGGATTTTTTACGAGCTAATACCGCTAGCGACCAATGACAGCGAAAGTTGAGAGCAGTTTGAGCCCTGTCATGTTGAAGCTTAAGTTGGTTATACAGGAGCTGTTAATTATTATATATATATATATATATATATATATATATTTCAAATTTAGTTGGTATATTCAGGAACTCGGAAATTACGGTAGTCACTATTTGCTGCATGTTTTAGTAATGTGATAATTTGATCGCTATTTTTATATCGCTAATCTTTGTCATGTTATTTTTCCAACAGAACAACATTTCTGCTGTTAAAGTGACTTAAATGTTGCTAAAATGTAGCTTTTTGTCCCCATAATTTTAGTGTTGTATGTTTATTGTTTATTTGCAGATGTTTTTTGCCTTTATTTGTTGGACAACTTGGCATATCAATGAACAATAATCACCACAGGTAACGCTAGAGGGAAAACAAAGTGTTGGGATGCTTTCACAACAGTCTTTAGACAGTTTTAGTTTTCTCTCTCCCTCCCTCGCCATCTCCCCGTGGCTGGTATTCTTGTTGGACCGCACGCCCATGGCACAGATTTGTTCAGTTAATGAGTCCCTACTGACACATTTCAGACATGACAGACACCGTCATGCTTTTCATTCACTGGAGGAACCAGCCAGCGCCAGACGCAGACATCTGTTGAAAAAAGCTGGCATGGGCTCCAGCGCTGCAATCTAGATGCCCAGACGTAACAAATGTATCCCATCAAAACCAGAACAACAAAGGCTGGGCTGCTCTGAATAATTAAATTAGAGTTGACAACAACTCGAGCGATTCCAGTTTGAAATGAGTGGAAATCGAATTGTTCCCAACCAGAAACCACTTCCAGAGGGAGAACCAACGCCTCATTTTTATGTTAAATAATACAAACTAAGAGGGAAGAGTCCCAGAAGGAAACTGTAAAGTGTTGGCCAGGTTTTACAACAATAACTATTCCCCTGCTGCTGCAATCACAGATTTCTGGAGCATATTTCATGGAATTCCTAATGTGGTCCCAGAGCTGCACCCTTTGGAAAAGGCACAGCTGAACATGTCATCATTACATCTGTGAGAGATTAACTGGGGGATCAGTTCAGTTTTGATGTGCGTTCACTGGATTGAGCTGAAGGCTTGATTTAAATGAAAGCTGTATTTGAACTCAAGTTAGCGCAAGTAAGATAACCTCATCACCTGAACAACAACAACAACAATGAAGAAGAACTGGACTAGCTGTGCTATCACTCCCCATTCACACCTCTGACCTTCTGCAATGACCCTCATTACAGGTATGAAGCCCCTTTGAGGCTAAATAACAGTCGTTCTCGGTAGTCAGTCAGAACTGAAGAAGCCTCTTTGATGAGAGGTGAAACGACTTCAAAAAACCTCATCACTCGATGTAACTATATTTGAAACGGACTGAAAGTCCACGGCATGTTGAGATTTGATGCAATGACAACGCGAACTATCTTTATGGTCAATAGATAATCTGAGCACTAGAGTAACTACTGTAACTGCACAAAAATGCGGAGATGGAAAAAGTAGTAGAAAAATATAATTAAGTAAAAGTAAAAGTACCCATCTTAAAATCTACTCAAGTAAAAGTTAAAAAAAGTACTTAATTTCAAATGTACTTTGAGTAGACGTTACTTAGTTACTTTAAATCACTTGACGCAAAACAGGATGAGTCATACGTCCAATCTGCAACTAGTTCTTTTTTTTAATCAACTATTCAAATACAAGTGGCATAAGGTGAGAATCCTACGATACTTTTGAACAGTTTTGAACAAGCCACTAAAGAACACTTAATAAATGACTGACTAAATGAAACTTAAACCAACCAAACACATAAAGTACGGCACTTTAGTTTGAACTATGTTCCATCACACCTTGAAACATTATAAAACACAAAGCGCCAAATTCTAAAATTTTCTGTCCAACTCAAACACTACAATGAGCTACATTAAAATAGCGGGAAATTGCAATTTTCTTTCTGTTAACTTTTGACTGTTGACCTTTTTTTTTTTTTTAACGCATCTAATTTTTTAATTCCTTTTCAATGTAGTGAAAATGACAGCGTCACTTTTGAATAATAAAACATGACACTTGGTACTGCTGCAACTGTTAGGGCTGTCTGCTGTGTGGGGTTAATCAGTGTGATCACACTCACCTGTGTCTCTGGTGGGATCATTGTTTGTTGCGGTTTGTTTGTTGGTCGTGTCCAAGGTTTTGAGAAATGGCGGTGGAGAAGTCCACGCCTGTCGTCAATGTTTTGAGTTGTTGTTGATTTTCCACTTGATTTGTTGATTTTGCATCTGAGGAAAGTCTCTCTCGTGCTGCATTTGGGGCCTGTCCATGCCTGCAATGACCGTCAGTAACGGCAACAATTGAATTTGTTGTTCCGGCCATGACTTTCTTCCACACAGGCAACAGTTGCAACCGAAATCTGAAAGAAAGTCTCTCTCGTGCTGCATTCGGGTCCTGTCCATGCCTGCAATGACCGTCAGGCAACAGTTGCAACCGAAATCTGAAAATAAGCAAATAAAAAAGAAAAATGTCTTCAACCGTCTTTGCTGCTGTTTTCAATGTCATCCCTTGGTATTTTGGTCAAAACATCGTGTGTTGTACTCAGTCTGTCTCAGGTGCTAATAATGAGACGCGACAAGGGAACAAAATAAAACCTGTACCACTCAGTTCCTGATTTTCCATTTTCCGCTGTGTTGGGAGCCAGGCCTTAACGTTACTCTTGACAAAAATAATTTGTTAAAAATGACAGATTTGACATTTGAGCCATTCAGGTTGATGCAACACCACAGCAACAGCATGATTTCAGACTGGAACAACTCCCGAGGCAGAGCTGGAGAAGAAGTTTCCCAGTGTTATTTACGAGTGCGCACTTTGTTTAACGGCCTATAGACAATGTGTTCTCTTTACATCCCGTTTGTAAGATGGGGAAATCATTCGCAGCCTTTCCTCATTTTCTTTACACGGACATAAACATACATCACCTCCGTCAGAGCGAGAGGATGTGGTTCGCAGCTGCACACATTTGGGAGACGAGGAGAATACATCACTGTCGCACACTCCAGAAGAAAAGGAGAGCGGAGGAAAAGTTTAAATCATTCTTGACAACAACACTCAAGTAACAAGCAGGTGGAGACAGCAGTTAAAAAAGGGAAACGGAGAATGAGGCGACTTTTGGCAGATTTCGTCTAGAAGGGAACAGCGCTGCAGTTAGACTGTCCAAAACACAAAATAACACAGACTGTCGTCCCTTCTTTGACGTGGATAATTAGCACAGAGTGCGGGAAAGTAAAACATTTTTAAACTCGGTGTAGGAAAATAACAGGATAAAAGGCCTGAGAATTGTCACCATGATGAAGGTGCAAATGTTGCTATTAAATATCACCCCGCGGAAAAGAAGCGAAAAATCTAAAAACAAAAACATTATTAGTAGACCTGTTGTCCTTCGCATTAGGAAGTAGAATCAGAGTATGAGGAAAAGTTGGCACAAGCCGTGCCGTTACAGGAACACACACAATGGCATGTAATCAGCCACCGGGTCACCTCAACCCAAAGGACCTGTTAAGGCGACAGGCCTGTCAGCCTGTCAGCCTGTCACATGTATTGCCGGTTTTACAGCTGATTATTGTGCACATACGTTCTGTGTCAGAGAACAGCAGGGGAAGCTCATGCTCAAAAGCTAAAGCTAATGCGTTGTTAGCCTGGAAGTAATGTACAGTGAGCCAAAAAAAGCACCAAGCTCACTGTTGTTAATATATGTAATAGAAGGCAGAACCTGCAACGGTTGGTGGGGAATGTTTCATAATTCATTTTGTGGATAAAATTTGGCTTTTTCAAGTAGCAGAACCAACTTCCTGTGCATTAGCATGTATACAGAAGCACACACATCCAAACACAAACAGACTTAAATTGGGTTTTTATGTAGCAAAGATTATCAAATTAATACATTACTATTCTTTCTTATAAAACAAGACACCAGTCCAAATATTAAATGATAACTTTTATGTTTTTCTGGGAGTTTTTGTTGCAAGTTTTTTTTTTTGTTTTGGGTTTTTTTTTTAGCATAACATACCTCCTCAATGAATATATATGTGGAAATATATATGTAACGATTATGTCATTAGATTGCTAAAGGTTAGCGAGCCATTTGAAAAACACACGACCCTTAACTCAGCATTATAATAATATCAAACCAGGATTAAAACTGTTTTATAACACATTAATTAATCTTAAAACATGTGGAATATAGTTAAAATATTGCTGTCAAAACACAGTTGGTTTCATTGCTGATAAATGATCCCAAACGCCCGGTAGAGTATGTTAAAAACTATAAATATATTAAAGTTAATTTCCTTCTGTGGTCTCGGGAGAAATTGCCCTCGTACCTAAAGCTAAGTTCCCACCTGAAAAACTGTCACTTGCCGGAGAAGTAATTAGTTCCTCCAGTCACTGACTCGTCCCCACAACGACTCCTTTCCTCTTCCACATCGCTCCCCCCAGCTTGAGGCCAATTACACTGTCAAATAGAGGAGGCATCACGAGCTGCTGTAACCTCAATATTACACACTGTTTGCACAGATTCAGGCCCAACATTTAGAAAAGAGTGTTACTGAGTCACGAACGGTCTGTGCCAAAAAGAAGGATTTTAATCCTGAAGGATCAGGATCCTGGAGAAAAGAATCAAGAGCGTCAGAACTTTTAGACACTGATGTTTAATGTGAGTCTTTGGAGCCACTTTCATTGATTGCATAAATGAAAACGCTTTGAATCCAGAGGAACTGAAATGAAGTTCAAAAATCAATGTGAGTGAATTAAAGTTTTAAGTTTAGGAGAAATGCAATATTTGACTTATTTTCATTTTGACAAAAGGATGTAAGGAAAACAAAAGAAAAAAATCTGAAAAAGCTAGTGAGACAAGATAGTTTCTAAGCCTGTGATTAAATTTATTTTTTTAAAATGCACCGAACCAAAAGTAATATTGCATTTAAAACTTACACGAAAAAAAAAAAATTAAAAGTTAAATATCAAATGCAGAGTGTCTAACACCAAGATTAGCAAGCAGTCAGTAGCCTTTGGCAAATAGATTTAAAAAAAAGAAGGTGACTGATAATTCAGTTGTTGTGGCCAAGAAACAATTGCTTTAACACGAAGTTAGTCACCGTGAAGAGCAATGAAGACCACAGGGAAAGTGTGCTTTATTGACCTCTATAACTTGCTCTGACGACAATGCCATCAGAAGAATCTGACTTATGCCTGTGAGCCATAACGAAGGGCAAAAAAAATATGGCGTACCACCGGGGGAATGTAAACAGAGTCATCTTCCTCGTTGGAATGAGGCAACAAGACTTTCTCAATACATTTATACATAGGAGGTCATAGGTCGAAGATGTCATAAAGGACCCCCGGTAGTGAGCAATTAAATTAACTGTACAAAATACTCAAAGTAAGACACCTTCGGATTTAAAGTCGTTAAAAGTAACACTACGATATAGAAAAGACACAGCCATAGCAGAGTGATACCCATGTATAAAGAAGTATTATTAACTACTAACTAAGGCACTCAACAGTTATTTGTAGTAAGCAGGGCTAATAGTTACAAGCTACAAGACCAGTTGTTTACGATTAATATTTGTGAAAATTTGATAAAAATCTAGCATTAAGTTATTCTGCTTCCGTGTCTCCAAGCACATAGCCATAAAATGTACGAAAAAGTTGTCTATTAGCACATTAACCTAAAGCCTGTCCCCCCCGAGCCAGTCCTTAGATCACCTGAACTAAAAGACAGTCAAATCTGAATGCTGAACTTCACTTTCAGTTGTCATTCACACACATCTGACTCTCTTCTTTGAGGAAACATCTCAACCTCTCTGTTGTCTCATGTTTGTCATGCAGCAGACAGTAACCAAAGTTACCTGTGATTTCTTTATCAAAACCTCCTCCGCCTTTTCCTGCTCGTCAACGCAATTCCGTCACAAACCTGCAGCAGCGCCAATCTGAGGATGAATAATTCATAGCTTCGAAAAGCAACAGAAGAATATCAATGTCCTTATCAGCTTAGCACGTTTGTGTGATTGGTGGCAATACTGTATATGGGCCGTGTGTTAACAGTCAGTCAGTGTGGCCCCGTGCAAACAAGGCACTGCCATTCGCTTACGCTAACAGGTCAAAATAGACCACAAAATATCTTACCACGTCATGATGCTCCAAGATCTCCGCACCTCCTTCATCAGTGCCGATCTGGCAAAAGTTTTGCTACACCGCAAAATATAGTAGAAAAATAAACTAAAAGACATTAAATAATTATACATACGAACGTTTTGGCTTTAAAAATGTGGATTCTCGTTTAATAAAGTGACGGTATTTTCATATGTTTATATATATTCATATAGTTATAGCTTGGATATCTTCTTTCACTTTATATTTACTTGCCTTTATAACTTCTCATACTGAATATTTTAGCTTTTGTTGATGTGTTTTTGGCCAATACGTTTGGTCAGTGGTTTGGTAATGGTCTTGGATTTTTTCCTATATAACTTAAATAACTATAAGTTGTATATTTACATAGTCAAAGGTCAATTATTAGTAATAATAATAATAATAATATAATTGTAGAGAGTGTGACCACACTCTGTAGATGAGTGGTCACACCGAGATGAAACTTTGGAACAAGCGCAAGTCTACAAACAAAAACTCTGAGGCATGAGATGAAATCGTGAACTTTTGTTCCACTCGCTGACTCTAAAAGCTAAAAATTAGCATTACAGACCCGCGTGGCTGCTGCTCATGCATGGATGTGGTTTACATTGGCTGCTGGAGTTTTAAATGAGGAACAGACTCTGCCCACGAGCAGAACATCAGACACGTGGTCGACCAACCCTGCCTGTCCACGTCGGTAAAGATCAGCACAACTTTTGGAACGCACTGAACCAGAATAAAACTCAAATGAAACAAAAGCTTTGAATTAGACTGTTTACTGAAGAACGTAGCTGCCACATCGAATGTCGGAGAATCTTTACCATTCAGAGCTGAGAAAGTTCAATTCACTCTGATGGAATATTCTTAGGGTTTAATATAAAACGTTTACAACTGCTGGAAGTGGCTTTTCAAAAGTAAAAGAAGGAATGACATGTAAGTAAACCTCAGTGACACCAAACGCTAAACAAAAACAGATTAAGAGCAATTTAAAGGTTTGCCGTAGGCAAGGAATCATAAAAAGACAGAAAAAGTCTGTGTTAGGACAAAAGTAAAACCCACTGCTGATTGTCCACGACCCTCTGCCGTGTTAGAACCCAGCATCTTACAGTAATAGACACTGAAACATGGGAGTCCACATCTGTCTCCTATTTAACATTTCTACAGCGTGAAGAAGAAAATAGAAAAACACTGACCACTGAGAATTGAGCAGCTCCAGTCTTATACATCAAAAATCCCCGGGCTGTTAGCACCGAGGTTTAAAACGTAACCAACATTCTATGAAGAATAAAAATGATGAAATGGCAAAACAATCTAACAAGTTATAAATTAAATAAAGAAAGACCATAACATTGAAAAACCACATGCGTATTACTCAGAGAGGACTTTGTACAAGAGAATATCAACCCATATTGTTGGTATGACTGTAAATGCAGCTTCATAAATGGAGCAACTGCCTAGAGACTGTTATTTCGTACTCGTTTTTGCAAAGTTGTAGTCTTCCTTGTTGTATCGTGAGACCCAAACAAGGCAGAAAGAAAATTCTGAATTCAAAATCTGGTCATTTTTTTTGTAGTTTTTCAGAATAAATCTTCACACTTATAATCAATCTAAGTAAGACTAAGTTGTCGTATTAGGCTACGGTACGCAGCACTGGTACCTGGCTGTAGTATGAGTGGGTGTCTATGTTTTTGCATTAGGAATGATGTACATTA